TTATAAATAAACTTTATTATTATGGCTGTTTGAAGAAGGCACGGTCAAGCTCAGTATCTAAAATGGACAGAGATACAAAAATAACTGCAACAGCAGATGTGTTGGGTATTGGTATATTTTCTTGTATTGACCGATAGAAACACTATGACTGATGTTTTAAATCAGCCCTGCGACTGAGGAGTTGTATTCAATAAAGACAAGCTAATAATGAACATAAAATAAACACGTTGACAAAAAATGACTGGACATGAAAGCAGAACACATTCCTGCTTTTTAGTTGTTTTTTTATGTTTGCTTACAAAAACATGGTTGTGTTTGTGCATTTAATATCTTCCAATAAAGAACATATTTTTTTTTTTTTTAGGCACAAAACGTATAAAGCAATTTGGAATGAAAAGTTATTTTGCTTTTACCCTGTTTAGATACCTGTGAGTAAGGAAAAAAAGGACTGGAAAAAAAAAAACATTCAGCGCAAAGTTTTGACACCTTTCACCTCTGTGCACGGACACCAAAAGAAGGAAGGGGGGGGAAAATCAATTATCTTTTTTTAATTACATTATCTAAGCATAGATGCATTACTTGTGAAAAAGGTAGAAAAAACAGCAAGTCTTTCTCAATAAGTTAAACCTCTCTGGCCAAAGAGCAGGGCCGGCTCACAAAACAGAAGATTTCCCAGTAAAGCATTCAAATTCAGTGAAACAAAAAAAAAAAAAAAAGAAAAAGGAGTTAACTCATGTTTTGCTGAAAATACAAAAAGGTGGCATCTCCCTTGGTTGAAATTTAAAACACTTTGTTAAAAAAAAAAACAACAACAAAAAACAAAAAAAACATAGAAGATGCAAGTGGCTTATGTTACAGTCCTTCCACCCTTTTTCCACAGGGCTCTGCAAGCATTTTTCATGAAACTTCACAAGTTCCATCGTTTGATCGACAAACAATAAGCTGAGTTATAGTTGGTAAAAAAAATTATAATAACAATAACAATAATTACAATGACAGTTATAACGAGAAATGTAAGTAATAAACACAGTCCTGTACAGTCAGGCTCATCTTCTGATTGACCACAGCCAAAACTGATCGATTATCGATTGGTCTTCAGCAAGCGTGACAGACCCGTACTGACTGAAGAAAGGTGGCCAAAGCTGTCGTTCTCCTTTCAACTTCCCTCAGCTGCCCTCGGCTATGGTTTATTGGAAAATGCCTTTCCATTTCATGTCCCCCTCTGCTGCGAAAAACACACAAACACAGGACAGGATTATTACAGGACAGTGTAACGGTTATGTTATATGCAATGTACAGTTAAAGCACTCAATTTCTTCTTTTAAACTTGGTAACAGCTCACGGCTGAAATGCAACTGATCTCTTCTATAACTCACCAAAAAAAACCTTTAAAGTGCTTCTACACCAAACCTGTTTGGCAAAAATCTGAACGGTAATATCACAATATCAAGGCTCCAAAATGAACACCTGTAAAGTGCCAAACGCAGGTAAATTTGGAGTTTGTCATAAGGCTGTAGCTGTGATTTAAGATGGCTAATTGCTAAAGTTTGATCTCAGTACCTGCACCCTTCCTCCTCCTGCGTCTGTGACTGTTACCTAGCGACTTTCAGCCAAGTAAAGTCAACATGTTCAGCTGAAAGTTGCTAGTTAACAGGGTCACTACCTTAAACCCAAACGCTGAGGAGCCGCGGGACGCAAATGCAGCAGCTGTGGAGAAGTGGAATAATTAGTGGACCAGGCGGAGTTTTGTTTCCAGAGCGAGTGAGGCGGAGGCTGATGTGACTTTCTCCTGAGGGGGTTATTGTAATCCTGGTCTCTTCAGCTTCGCCTGTCTGGGCCACTTGTCCATCAAAAAACAAATGCTGAACATGGCGTGTTGACGTCACACGCGGTTGTGGTGGTGTCTTGCCATCCCGTGCAGCTTTTTCAATAGGAATTTTTTTTTGTGTACCGGCCAGAGGTGGGAGGTAACAAAGTACAAACACTTTGTACTTTTGTAGCTTTTTCAGATATCTGTAGTATACTTGAGTATTTATTTTTCTTTTTACTTTTACCCCCTATATCTTTAAATATCTGCACTTTCTACTCTTTACATTTTCAAAACACCTCACTGTCAATTTTAAGTCAAACATTTTAGAAACAAGAGTGTGAGAACGAACATCCAGAATTAATCTGGTGAACCTCACCGGGGGTTTGTAGTAGAGGTCGTTCCCACAGAGCGTTCAGTCCAGTTCATGTACCTCGTCCTGCAGGGAGACCGAGGGCCGCGCCGCCTCGCTCACCCGTTTGGCCATGATGTCCCACTGTGGAGTCAGGGTTTTGGATTTAGTGCCTGCAGAGGAGGAAGAGTACAAGAGAGGCCGGTCAGTCCACTGATACCACTACAACTAAAAGGACAAAATCTTCTGCCCCCTGGTGGCTCCATTAAGTACTAATTCCTTTAGTAAATCTACAGAATAAAAATAACTAATATATCTATAAAATCTCCACACGGCACAACCGCTAATCAGTGCTCATCAGTTTACAGCACCCAAGGTAATCCACTCCCACTAATTATGTCTTCCTTTCAAATTGACAAGTATCTAATTAACAGCAATGAGTTAACAGTCAGATAATGTAAAGATTAGTTTGGACAGCAAAAACACTTCAGAAGATATTCAGTAAATTCTCTTAATAAATATTCAATAACATATCATATAACCCATCTGATATATTGTATATGAAGACGTATCTCTCATTATTTTACCCGGATTACGTCTAACACAATATGTGCTTTGCTTCCCCCGTGAGGTTTGACATGACAGAACAACAAATATGGCTTCATAAACTGCTGGCGTGGATCCAAACCAAAAGGAGAGCAGGTGGATCCACTGCATTTGCAAAATTACATAATCAGCAGGGAGTGATTTTAATGCTCCGCAGCCACATTAATGTTGTTTCAATATCCTCCTGGATCCATAGTTTTCACATATAGTTTGTATAATATTCAACGTCAGAAATTGTGTGTTAAATTAGCATATAATGTGATTTTAATTGACTTCTTTGGTAGACTCTTCGTCTATTGCATGTCTGTTTGTCCTCTGTGGCTCTTCCTGAAGATTTTTCCACTTTTTTCCTGTGATTCGTTATTGTGATCTACATAAATAACATCTGATTTTACTCAATCTACAGCCAAAATCTTCAATGTAAAGCAGAAGTTGATCATTTAGAGAGAATAAATGTCTATCTTGTTATAGCCACAAATTATGGTTTTTACATCGATGTTTGTATACAGATAAAACACACAAGATACAACATGGTAATTATTCAACTTTGTAGCTAGTAGGAGACGGTTTTCTGAACTGTGGAGAGAGTGAGGCTAATGCTAAGCTAAGATAATGGCCTCCAGGTTCTCGCTCCACACTTTTAGCACAGACGTGAAAGTGGCCTCGACCTTCTCTCAGTAAAATGTTGAACTATTCCTTTAAGTTTCACTGATAAAAGATGACTGCACAACACACACTGCAAGTACAGAAATAACTCTCCTTTTAATTAATAAAACTAAATAAATAATGCAACGACGGTTAGAATTTAATTTAAAAAAAACAACAAAATAAATAAAGATATGAACGACTGAGTTGATAAACTGGTGGTAAAATAAAAACTAATCCCTAATACTTCAGCCTGGCTGCTTTCCAACCCAATTCTCCTCCTGGTGCGTTATCCCAGCCGGGGCCTGAGGTGGGCTCACAGACCAGTGGAGATGCACTCCCTCAGGATACACTTACCAAGCCCTCCTCCTCCTCTTCCTCTCCGCTGTTACCATGACAACATAGACTGTAGCCTCCAGCTAAAGCGGCAAGGCCGATCCGATCCTCTCGCAATCTCCCTCTCTCCCTCTTCCTTTCGGTCTTTCTCTGGCACACTCTCACACTCTCTTGATCTCTCAGTCTGTCTCTTCCCCTCTCCCATTTCACAGGGGAGAGGGGAAAGTGGGACATAACCCAAAAAAATAAGAGCCCCACACAAACTCTTAACCCTTCGGCAGTGGATCTTAACTGTGTGTGGAAGCCATCCAGTGAGTCGCGAAGCTCAGATGTGCCTTTTTACGTTCTCTTCAAATATTAAGATGATCAATGTTGAGCAAATACATTAAAGCTTAAGCTAAAATATATTACATTTTACATAAAAGCCAGTGTTAATATAGTATATATATATATATATATATATAGAGTCGATGCTGTAATGACAAAGCCATGACATTAAAATTTGTTTAAATGACAGAATTATTCTCCTCCACTAATTTTATACAGAACAACTGCCTTTCGAGTCAAATTCACACTTAAACTAATGCAAAAAACCTGCAGCTGAGGCCTAATTCATGTAATTTCTTTCATAAAATATCATATCTCATTAAAAGTCTCATTCAAACTACCAAGTAATTAGTAAATTATCTTTATTTCAATGTATCTTTCAGCTTATTTCCAACTTTTAATCAAATTAGATGTTTAAAAATTGTTCTAATATTCTATAACAACTAATTACTTATTAAAATCATGATATATAATGATGATACAAGATATTACCAACCAAAAAAAACATTAAAGTTGTGAAAGCACACACACACACACAC